AAATTTCAACAAACGGCCATGACTTTTGGTCGGGTCCAAATCGTCAGTCTTTTGATAAGGAGCTACTGGAGGGTTCAGATAACGTTTCTGAGGATGGAATAAAATATTGATTTACCCCTTTGCATGGTGTGGTCCCCCTCTCCTCCCCCCATCGTATGAAGAGGTAGAATACAGGAAAAAAAATCAATCAGACATTGATCAGGGATGTTACGTGAACCCCCCAATAGCTCCTAATCAAAAGACTGACGATTTGGACGCGACCAAAAGTCATGATAATTAGTTGAAATTCTTGCCTAGGAAGGTATTTTTAACAAAAAATGTCCATATTAGATATTTGAATTTTTTAAGCATTTAACTGCTAGATGTTTAAATCCACAGAAAATTTTACTATGCGGACCAGGCAGCAGGCGGGACTCGAACCCGCACCCTTCGCTATTCATACTAGACTGTTCACCCACAAGATCGAAATTGTACTGGTACTACGAAGTTCTTAAAAAGCTTAGTGTATCCATTGATTTGGGGTTGACTGTACTTCGCGCTTAGCCCTTGCTTTACTTTGCTGTACGGTAATTGTGTGGGGTGATCACACAGTGACTTTCTTTAGGACACGCGGGGACACATTTTCACAAATTATGAAAAAAACCAAATTAAGTTGCCAAGAAGTAATTGCAGCTTTCTTTTTAATACAGATTAAAAGCCCTGTTCCTTAAGAGCTACTATACTACACTATTTATGTTTAATACTCGTTTATATGTCATTTAATCAACATATGATTAATGCGCCTTTTTACTGCCAACGACCTCCGTGGCTTGAGTGGTATGTACGCCAGTTTTAAACTTGTTGAACGCTATGTAAATTAAAAGTTGTTAAAAACTGTAATTTTTTATATTGAACGCTATGTAAACTCGTAAGTGGCAAGCACATGATAATTGTATTTATGTTATTAATAATTTTGTAATGTATTATATGTAATGCTGTATGTGTAGGGCCGTCTTTAACCCATTGGAGGCCCTGGGCATATTAGGATAATGGGGCCCCTATGACTTTGATGTGGATTATGACTTGAAATGGAGCGAGTCATACTGATGATTTTTCTTTAAAATGTGTATGTGCTTAATATACCATTATATGAATATTTAAATTTATCTAAGCATGCTGAAGTCGGAAAGCCTAATTTTTTGGCGAAAGTAGAATGAATAGCTTCGCTTATGTAAAAGCTAGTAAGTTGGAATTGTAGTCAGTAATTTAGGTTCGATTTCATCGAATTATTTAAGTTTTTTGGTAATAAATATTGGTTATCGTTTGGTGATCTGTCAGGAACTAGGGACTTTGTATTTGATCTGAGGGGGCCCCTCTCCCTCGCCCCTCCCTATCGATCGCGGGGCCCTGGGCACTTGCCCAAAGTGCCCACTGGGAAAGAGGGGTCTGTGTATGTGTACCTAATGAAATAAATAAATATGACTCTCGCCATTACCTACCTTGACCCAATCCTTTAAACTCATGGAGCCCTGGAACCTTACTCACTCACCGACAGAAACACAGTTCCAACAAAAGGTAGTTTTATTTTACTGTGTTCTCTAGTAAGGTGAAGGTTACTTCCCTAGACGGATGCTCCGATTCATATCACATCACATCACCAGCCTATTAATGTCCCCACTGCTGGGGCACAGGCCTTCCTTATGGATAGAATAGGGAGATTGGGCTATGACCCACCACGTTGGCCCAGTGCGGATTGGTAGGTGCTAACAGCTTCCGGGGGCGTCCCAGTGAAGTGGTGCACACTAAGGTGCGCCGATCCTGAGATGCCCCCATATGGGCGTAGGAGGGTAGGAGGGTACCGGTGGTTTTTAGTGGGTAGGACCGGCGTTGTTCCGCGCCGGGGAGTGCGTAAATGCATTTTCCATCGTCAACAAAAAAAAAGGTGCTAACAGCTTAACGTGCCTTCCAAAGTACGAAGGAGCTCGAAAAAGTAAATTTTTGGTCACCCATCCAATGACCGACCATTGCGCAAGTTGCTTAACTTCAACGATCGCAGCCGAACGCGCTAACCACTAGCGCCATCGATATCCCCCCATTCGTATGCCCTTCCTAATTTAAAAATTATATATGAGGTTTCTTAAAGAAAATCCCGCAATATCCGATAGTGTGGCGATCGTAGCGTCTATCGCTCGGTCATTGCCAAGGCGACAGGTATATAAGCGTTAGAATTACGTAATTATACTAGTTCTGCCGTACGGCCCGCCGCTCTTAGACCGGTGAGTACATTAAAGATCTGTTTCTTAAAAAAAAAAGAAAAAATATCTTCGTTTAATAAGTTCAATAATAAGATTCTCTTCTTACGTCTACTTCGCATCTGTTTTGCGTGTGCATAAAACAATTACTTACATTTTTTTTTTCAAATTTATAAATATTGAAAAAATATATTATTAAAAAGTGTGTAAAATTATATTTTTTAATTATTTAAAAGTGCTAATAATTGTAGCGCGAAAAAAAAGTGAAAAAAAGTTAGTGTTTCCTACTTTTTATATAATTACTTACATAAAAAATATTAGGTAGTACGTCATGTTTGGATAAATAATTGTTAGTCAATCACACAAAAACGATAAAAAAATATTAACTCTTTTTTATAAAAAAAATAACATAGATAAATGAAAACGTTGGTGATAATAGCGTAACTTTTTTTTAGTTCGAATTAAAATAAATTGCGACCTCGATGTCAAAAATTTTAAACTTTTGCATTTAAATTTCATCTTAATCCAAGATGAAATTTAAATGCAAAAGTTTAGAATTTTTGATGTGTTCGATCATTAAAATAGTTTGTTGTCTGAATAATGAAGATGCTTTTTATCCTGACAAAATATTACATTCCCAAAAAAAAACATAATTTTCAGTGGTAGATTTTCTACATTCATTTTTGACGAGGTTTTCGCCGTTGTATTAATAAGCATAAGAAAACCTTTCAAACCTCTTTTTTGAGCACATTTTGCTCACGGACAAGTGTGAGACTTTACATAAAAAAGTTTATATGAAGAAGGAACGCAGTTATATTTTTAGATGAGCATGCATTTAAAATATTTTTTATTTTTTTATTTTATTTTATTTTATCATGGTACACCAACAAAATACATACATAATTTTAACAACCTTATTATTGAAAATACTAAGTATGATTTTAATAAAAGATATACACAGTAATTCCAATTAACTTTGTAACAAATGCCATCTCTTGAATTACATCCATATACACTACAAATACAACCAGTGCGTCAGGCTGAAATATATTGAATTAATAAAATAAACTATTTAAGCTACCATGTGTTTGACACACACGCATTTAATATTTGACGAAAGATTTTTTTCGAAAATTACCGATACACTCCCTCCCCTGTTTGTCTCTATGGTACCAACTAAAGCTTTCAGTATCAATACATTTGCGAGTCCCGGGAAAAAAATCGAGACTCGGGCCGGTCCCGGGATTCCCGGGAAAAACGAGACTTTCGAGACTTTGAAAATAAGTGTCAAACTCAAGGTTTATACAATTAGGCACTTTAATAATCAACTATTACAATATAATCAAATATAAGTAAAATTCAAAGCAGAAAGCAAAGGGCATTCAAAGTGTTTTCAGATAGAGAGGATCTGATGTTGTTGAAAAAGTAACCTGCATTAGAAAAAGCTCTCTCTGCTTCGACGCTAGTAGAGAGGATGGATAACAAATAGTTATAGCACTGATTTAAATGCTTACCTCTGTCGCCACCAACTGTTGTGCTAAGGAACACATCGTAGCTATATAATTCACACTTTTTATAAAGAAACAATAAATAAATAAATAAATATTTCCAACACTCACACCAATTTGCCTAGCCCCAAAGTAAGCACTGTAAGGCTTGTGTTATGGGATACTAGGGTAACGGATAAAATACATATACAGTACATATATAAGTATATTTATATAGAAATACATATTAAACATCCATGACTGGAGTACAAATGCTCGTATTCATCACACAAACATCTGCCCCCACCGGGTTTCGAACCCAGGATCTCTCGAGTTGGCGACACCATGAAACCTGGCGTACAAACCACTCGACCACGGAGGTCGTCAAAGTGAAGTTGTGAACGTATTGTGTTTGAGGTTAGGTTGCAATATCTACAGATTATCCTAACTTTCACTTAACAGTGTTGCCATGTAATCGAATTAAAAAAAAGAATGGTATATGGGTAGTTTAGTAGTTTTTTTAGTAGATTGATATTTTTTGTACATTATTTAACTAAGTCTCGAAAACTGGAGCTCAGGTCTCGAGTCTCGAAAATGCGACAAAATCGCCGAGACTCTCGGAATTTTCGAGACCAAGACTCCCGGGATGAAAGCCCTAGTACCAACCGATCATAAGATTTAAAGGCGAATCGGTTTAAGAGATCGTAAAATTAATTGCATCTTTGCGCTGCGGAATCTCATTAAAAGTGCGTTATTTTAAAGGCACAATCACTATGCAAGTCAATAAGCTTAAGTTATTTAATGAAGTTGTGTAGTAAAAAGCTTTAGTGGCACATAATTCTCTTCCTGTATCCATAAGACGAGCGCAATCTATTAATGTCTTTAAAATTTTTGTTGTAAATCACTTTTTGTCGATGTAGCTGCATTTTTATCTCTGCTAACTGGACTAAACTTATATAGTCTATGTATTGTATAATATGTACATATGTATGTATATGTATATTTACATCTTTGAAGACTTCTTGCATCTTTACAAACTGCCACCCTGCGGCGTCCACTGTACTCGACGCGATTTTGAATGTTTTAAATGCGTATTTAAGTAGCTATTATTATTATAATTTCTAGAGTCTACGCGGAATTGTATTAAAAAATAAAATGCCAATATTCGATTTAATATTTCCCGGTAATTTAGCGCATCCGTTCACCACCATAACCATACAGCATACTGAATATTTACGTATACCTTCTATGCACTGCTTAAATGCTCCTACCTCTTTATCCAAACTTATGTTTAAATTGATTCTGCATAATACGATTTCTTTTTACAAAGTTACGTCCCTTAATTTTTAAAAAGACATTTGTTAGTTCCAGATACTGTAGGTACTGTATATCAATAATATTCATCCTGCTAGTCCACCGGCTTCCAGGTACACCAGCACTTATACTGTCTTTGGAGTAGTAAATAGGTAGCTACAATTACTTATTTATGTTCAAAGCTTGATCGTTATTTTTGAGTTTTACACCGGTCAGTCGGGTAGACAGGGAAGTTCTTTTTTTATTATATCTTAAAGTTTACATTGGACCGTACCTTTTTGTCTTCATATTTTTATTTATTAAAGTCATGATCATATTTAAGATAACTTTTTTAGCTCGGCTGGTCTGGAATTTCAAGAGTACCGGATTCGGGCTTGGTTGTCCCTTGACCCTGTATTTTACGGACCCAACGACAATATAGTCGTGCTGTATGTCGATGTGTGAACATCGACCATAACGAAGTCGGAGGGATCCACCAAGGATAACTTAGAATTTTTCTAGTAATATTTTAATAAATAGAAGAAAAATAAATTAAAAATCGATCCGAAAAAATACATTGCTACGAAGTTCGCCAGGTCAGTTAGTTATTAATAATTAACACTTTGAATGTCCATCATTCCGCATTGAGCTCTCTTATGTATTATGATGCAATTACATTTGCTCGTTGGCCCGTATTCGTGTGCTCGAAAGACATTACTCAAATTCGGGCACCCGAAGCAATATTTACACTGGAATACGGGCTGGAAGACGGTGTCGGGTAAACAAAAGGAAATCTACCCTAATACGGGCGTACTAGACTCCGTTCATGTACACTTAGTCGTGTTAACCCGAATTAAATTGGCACTCGTAGTCGGGCTAGCGACCAAGTATAACCTATATATGTGTATATTTCAAAAACCTTGTTAGATCTCACTATATGTCCTTGTAAACCTTCCATTTTTGTTGATCTTAGCTGAATGAATTAGACATAGGTATGTATGGATTTATGTTTATATATATCTTTATATATAAAACTCAAAGGTGACTGACTGACATAGTGATCTATCAACGCACAGCCTAAACCTCTGGACGGATCGGGATGAAATTTGGCATGGAGGTAGATGTTATGACGTAGGCATCCGCTAAGAAAGGATTTTGATCAATTCTACCCCCAAGGGGATAAAATAGGGAATGAAAGTTTGTATGAAACTTTGTCAATTTTAAACCGACCGGGCTGAGACTTTGCATGCAGGTATAAGAAGAATCATAGATGAATGTCATTGTGTATAATACAAGCCTGAGAACAAAAACTGTAGTCTACACTTCAGCTCTACAACGAAGCGAAGCTAGGGCGGGCCGTTAGTGATTGTATATATATTTAAGTTTATGACTATGTATGTATTATTGTAGGTATATAATTATACGTATGTATTGTTTTATATACTTATTTTAATTATATTTGTTAGGATGATTTTTATATTGTTTTATAGTTAATTACACCGCCGTTTCTCCAGCTTCTTTCCTGTCCTCTCTATCCTATGGTTGTCTGGAAGAGATCTCTCTTAGCGATAAGACCGCCCATTATTACACTGTATTCTTTAATTATGTACTTCATGTTTTATATTTTCTGTGGCGTAAAAATAAAGAGTTTTGTATTGTATTGTATTATATAAGCGCGCCATTATTTCCCAGTGTTTATATTGAAATGTGGGGCCTATACTAGGAGTATACCTAAACTTTATTGAAGTTAAATTTAGAACATTGACCAAATGCGGTTTCAAAGCGGCCTAATTTTTTACGTTGTTTCGTATAAAGGCAACCTTTTTTCTCAACAAATATATGCCCATTCACTATCTATTGAATCCAATCCAATTAGTTCTACATTTTTAAGACGCAGGTGCGGTCTTGCGTGGAATATTGCTCGCACCTCTGGGACGGCTCCGCCAAGTACTTGCTCGATGCTTTGGATAGGTTACAGCGACGCGCGATCCGCATCATAGGCGATGAGGAGGTGACTAAACACCTCGAGCCTCTTCAATTACGATGTGACGTTGAGTCACTAAGCGTGTTCTATCGTCTGTACCACGGCGAGTGTTCTGAGGAGTTATTCTCTCTTATTCCACCTTCCCCTTTCCTTCAGAGGTCCACGCGCGCTGGCCTTCGGTGTCACCGCCTAAGGCCCTTTTCACATGCACACGGTCACGGCACGGCCGCCATGCCGTGCAACCGTGCTAGCTCTTTCACATGTATACGGCTTACACACGGTCGCCGGCTATGGATGTTGCAGTAGTATCGAGAATTTTGGGGAACGACGACGTCTTTTATCATGGAACAAAAAAAGATTCTTTTCATTATCATCTAATTCTTCGAAACTACTATTTAATCCTATACATACTTCTTTCCACGCTTCTATTGTCTCGTTCCTGTTTTTATAAGACGCGATGGTTTTATCCCATAAAGTAGGACGCGCTTCAACTAGCGAAATCAACACATCAACATCGATTTCGACAGACATTCTGCAACAATCGTCCGTCCGTTCCCCATAGGGTGCGGCCAGAGTGCACTCAGACTCAGATTCAGATTCAGATTCCGAAAACAAGCGCGAGAAATAAACAGTGTAGTCGAAGGGTACAGCCAGAGTGCACTCCTGATTCAGATTCAGATTCAGACTCAGAAAACAAAGCGCGAGAAAAAGCAGGCAACCTGCTTAGACTACACTGTTTATTTCTCGCGCTTGTTTTCAGAATCTGAATCTGAAACTGAGTGCACTCTGGCCGCACCCTATGACTTTAGCTGACGAATGGTTTTTGCGCTCGCCGTGCCATACCGCGCCCGTGTTCATGTGAACGCGTCTATACAAGTCCATACAAGACTATAAAGACGGTTGCCGCGTCAAAACCGTGCTTATAGTGGATAAGGACGGCTGACACGCGGTCACGGCACGGTCGCCGTGCAATGTGAAAGCTCTCATTGTTGCTCATACATTAGTATTTTACACGGCACGGCAACCGTGCCGTGTCCGTGTACATGTGAAAAGGCACTTACTGTGGCCACAATTCCAACATCATCACAGTCATTTGTTCTATATAAAATAAAATAAATCATTTAACTTAAGCGGGCTTACCGCTCGAATTGGAGCGCCTGTCAAGTAACCTTCACCTTACCAAAGACTCTCTTTTTGGTGGTGTTGTGTTCCTGTCCGTGAATACTAGTAGTTATAAAATGGTTGGAACAATTTAACTATAACAATCTAGAACAATTAGGACAAACAATTGCCTACTAGCTTGTCTTAGATCTATACATAATTAAATATCCACACACATAACACACACACACATACACACGCAGACACACACTTAAACTATACATAATTTGTTGTTTGTAGTTTTCAAGTAACATGTGTAATAATTGCATGTTTATTATAATTTTATATTTATATAATACGGATGAGCCTGCCTCTCATAACACAGGGTAACCTTATAGGGGAGCAGTTCTGATTTTGTACAAACAAAAAAAATATTTGTAATAAAGAAATTTTTGTTTTATGTTTTTGTTTAGTAAGGTCCCAGGGCTCCACAGGGTAGGTGGGGTTTTCAAATAATTGCATAGCGAATATTCCACTGGAATTTAACGTATAACGCTTTTTTCTCACATGAACGAACGTAATGCTTTATTATGCTCTTAGATTAAAACAAAAAGGGTAGATACGGTACGCTCATACTTGCATCAAACAAAAACTGATCCCACGGCAGCGCGAACAGAACGGCGAGATCCGCGTCACTGCATTACCGACCCGAACGAAACAGCACGTTAAGTTTCAACGGCAGCGCAAACGAGACGACGAGATCCGCGTCACTGCATTACCGACCAATCAGGCGACCAGTACTCGACGTCACTACCGAATAAGATTCAAAACAAACAACAATTTTTATGAAAAAATATATTTTATAGTACTTACGAATGAAAAGTGATGCCGTGGGTTTTATTTTTAGTTCTTGAGCATTTTGAGCACGTTTTAAAAACACACTAAAGGATTGTTTTATCATTTAAACACAAAATATTAGAAATATTTATTTTTGGCGTCGTTACATGTCAAGTTGTGACTAAAGCGATTAGGGTCGTGGACCACAATTGGTGCGGATCACTTTTGTGAGGCTAGTGCCGTATCTACCCTTTTTGTTTTAATCTAAGATTATGCTACCAGGATCTTATCTCTTGATGAAGAAGATCGTACTTCTAGCACTAAGATTTTTGTCTTAAGTAAAAACTAGTGTTCGCCTATTGGCTGAAATTCTACATATCGTCTGCTTAACATGTAAATTTGCTATCTCCACTTTATTCAAGGAGTTGCCAAATTTTACGTAAACGATGTGTTCACATTAAAGGAAATTTTTGACCATTGTTAGATAATTTTTGACCAAAAGATGAATACGAGCATTTGTACTTAAGTCATGGATGTTTCATATGTATATATATATACAGTATATGTCAGACTTATATATGTACAGTATATGTTTTCTATCCGTTACCCTAGTGTTCCATAAAACAAGCCTTGCAGTGCTTACTTTGGGGCTAGGCTAATAAGCATTATTTATCTAGATCTAGAGAGGCATTGGGATTACGAATTCCCACATGTTATTTTTAAGGATTTTAGCAAATTTTCTAAATATTATTGATAACATCTCAAAGTAGTCCTTTTATTACTCATATAAATCTATAATAACAAAAAACATTATTATCTTAAGAAAAGTTTACTAGAAAAAAAAAATCCACGCGGACCTGCCGCGTCGAAATTTTCCTAGCCTTAAGCTGCAAGGCAGCGCCATCTCTTCGCATTGTGTAGGTAACCCACAATGTCAAATGAATACTTTTTCAAGTATTGAAAATGAAATGAAATAAGAAATAGCAATTATAGTTATGATTTTATTTATTACTAGTTGACCCAGCGAACTTCGTACCGCCCTAAAAAAATAGGGGTTGTCCAGCGGACAAAATTGTGAATCTAAACCATTCTCAGATCCACTGAAATTTTTTGTGTGTGTTCACACAAAATATTTCATCAAAATCGGTCCAGTCGTTTAAGAGAAGTTCAGTGACATACACACTCACAGAAGAATTATATATATAAAGATTAAGCATTTAACTGCTAGATGTTTAAATCTAAAGAAAAGTTTACTAGAAAAGGTCCGCGTGGATTATTTTTCTAGTAAACTTTTCTTTAGATTTAAACATCTAGCAGTTAAATGCTTAAAAAATAAATAAAATCATAAACATTATTATTACAGGATTTGTCCGAGGCCTGGTGAACAGTTAATCTATAATCTAATCTAATTGTAATTTTTATAATCTAATGCATTACCAACAAAAATTCTAATCTATTATTATAATAAGAAAAACCGGACTGCAAAACAGTTTAAAGCAATCAACTAGGCTTAGAATGTTACCGATTCTCACAATGGCTTAATAACATCAAGCAACAACGCAACGTTTAAAATAACTACGTCAGTTGTAAACACGGTAATTTATAACATGCCTTATAACGTTATTCGTTAATTAATTATTGAGCAACACTCAATGAAATAACTGTTATGATATTATTCAAATTGAACGTGTACTTTAAAGTTCGATGAACTGCGGCGCGACTGGTATTTTGACTTATGGCGTATGTTTAAACGCAATCAATGAATAATCTCCTTACACAAATTAGTTCAATGTTTGATGCGTTGCGTAATTTTTAAACGGTTTTATTTAGCTCACCCCGTTTGTTTTGTTTAAGGTAGGGTTGCCAACCTTACTATATAATATATAGTATCGACGACCTCCGTGGTCGAGTGGCTTGTACGCCGGGTTTCATGGTGTCTCCGACTTGAGAGGTCCCGGTTTCGAATCTCGGTGGGGGCAGATGTTTGTGTGATGAACACGAGCATTTGTACTCCAGTCATGGATGTTTAATATGTATTTCTATATAAATATACTTAAATATGTACTGTATATGTATTTTATCCGTTACCCTAGTATCCCATAACACAAGCCTTACAGTGCTTACTTTGGGGCTAGGCTAATTGGTGTGAGTGTTGGAAATATTTATTTATTAATATAGCATCCTACTATATTAGGCAATCAAATACTATATTTCTGAAAAATATATATAGCAGGCGAAACTACTATATTTTTCTTAAAGCAGATATTAGCCAGTAAAAGCTTTCTTAAAAATAAAAATTTAATTATTAAGGCATAGAGCAGCAAAAATACATTCTTTCAAAAACAAAGGCAATACTTTAATCAGATACAATATTTTTTTCAATTTTTTGCCATCTTCTTAACACAAGTTAGTGGTAACAATTTCGGACTTAATGCGAAATTTGTTGTAAATGACAATAAGGAGTAAATAAATAAATAAATAGAAAAAAGTTGGTAACCCTTTTTGTAGGTGTATATACACACACACACACATAAAGTTACCGCTGAGTTGACAAATCTTCTCAATGAGGGCTACCGTTTTCTGTCTTACCAGATGGCGCCACTGTTGAGTGAGGTCCTAAATTGTAACTTTTAAAGTTTATTAATACGCACATGAAATCAAAGGTTACATTTAGATCGTATTTTAACACAAAAGAACCATATCCTAAACATAATAGGCCATGCCACAGTGACGCCCAGTTCCGTTTTATTCGGAAAAAATGGGAACATAATCATTTTTCTAAGCTCAAATTTTTAATAACTGACATTCATTGCCACATAACTCATATTTGCCATAATTAAGCCGAATTGTTACTAATTATTCACAACATTATTTTAATAAGAAATAAACCCGCGTAGACAAACAACAAGCAATAACATTTGACATTTCAGAGACCTCACGCTACACTAGCGCCTCTAGCGGCGGATTCATACGCGATAGCCCTCATTGATAGCGAATTTTTAATATAAAGCTCTAAGTCAGTTGAAGAATTTTGTCAATTTTGTTTAGATTGTTTGTGTTTAGTAAGTGGATTTCGAATTGGTGCCATTAAGTAAGCCGACTTTGACTTTAAGATAAGTTTTGGCATCGAAATATAACAAATCATAATTTTAATTTTTAAAGCATGTAACTGATCATTTTCAATCAAGTCATTTAAACATCAAGCAGTTACATGCTTTAAAAATTAAAAATTGTAACTATCATTGCTATTTCTTCTATCAAAATGTTTAATACTTGTAAAAGTATTTATTTGACATTGTGGGTTACCTACAATGCGAAGAAATGGCGCTGCCTTGCAGCTTAAGAACGGTTAGAGGAATTTCGACGCGGCTGTCAGGGCCACGGTAGCATAATTGGTCAGTGCATTCGCCCGGATTGCGAAGGGTGCGGGTTCGAGACCCGTCTGCTGCCTGGTCCGCGTGGAATTTTTTCTAGTTATATTTTCTTTTGATATAACAAATCTTTAATCTGCATGAAAAGTGGCCTCTCGCCACTTAAACTTTTGTGTTAAAAATTATTTAAACTTTTAACTGTTATATTTTTATTTTTTAAGCATTTAACAGTTAGATGTTTAAATCTAAAGTTTACTAGAAAAAATTCCACGCGAGACCAGGCAGCAGACGGGACTCGAACCCTTCGCTATCCGGGCGAATGCACTGACCATTATGCTATCGCGGCCCTGACGGCCGTGTCGAATTTTCCCTAGCATTAGGCTGCAAGGCAGCGCCATCACTTCGCAGTGTAGGTAACCCACAATTGCAAATGGATACCTTTACAAGTATTAAACATTTGAAAGAAGAAATAGCAATTATAGTTATGTTGTTGGAGTCCTTAAAACAATCCATAAGATTGGCAGAAAAGAATTTTCCCATGCAGAGATTACGCGTTTCTATTGATAACGGCCAGCAACGCTGATTAAAAACATAATTATTTCATCATCATCAGCCTATTAATGTCTTCACTGCTGAGGAACAGACCTTCCCTTTGGATGGAATAGGGAGATTGGGCCATGACCCACAACACGGGCCTAGTACGGATTGACGGGTGCTAACGACTGCAGATGCAGCCGGGACCAACGGCTTTACGTGCCTTCCGAAACACGGAGGAACTCGGGATAGAAGATTTTTGGTCACCCATCCAATGACTTACCACTGTGAAAGCTGCTTAACTTCAACGATCGCAGCCGAACGCACTAACCACCTGCGCCATCGAGCTCCTCAGATAATTATTTATGTATTTGATATCAAATCCTCTTTACTTGATAAAAAGAACGTAATTTTATGCGCGTCAGTTTCGTAATGCACACAATAAATTAATTTGCCCCTTACACATAGACAAACAGGTTCCAATTAGGCTACCGTTGCTCATTTTGAGTACCGTTAAATCTATGGTCAACAACCAAGAGTATAAGTTCGTCTATGGCCGCTTCGCATAACTGTTCTATACGGGACAAGTTTAATTGATTGCCTATAGATGCGCTCGAATAGTTGAGCATTTACTGCAGAGGTTACGATCCCGGGATCCCGATTTTCGAAATCCCGGGATCCCGGTTTTCCGTCTTGAAAAAATTATCGGGATTAAATTTACCTGACTCCGGGATTTTCGGGATTGAAAAATTGCTCAGAACGTTATTACTTACTGACTAGATTATAACATAAAAGCCATACAATAGTCCGTATTAACCGATATTTTTGATGATTAATAATTATCAAAGTTCATTCACAGAATTGTTACATACAATATTTTTAAATTTATGTAACTTTGAAGAGTACTCACTGGTTCTGAAAAAATAACCTTAAATATAGAGAGAGTGATTTTGAGTTTGGTTAGTACGATAAAATCTGATTGAAGAGTGATTATATTTATATACAAAGTCAATTACGTTTTTTGTCTAAATTTTTATTTAAGAGCGCATTTTTGTAGTATTTCCTTTTTTTCCATTATAACTCAATCCCGCAATGATCCCGGGATTGACTAAGTGTAATCCCGGGATTAGAAATAAGGACCGGGATCGAATCCTCTAATTTACTGCAAAACATGTTGAGTTCGTTCATTGTATGCAGCAAAAGCTCAACATTCCAAGTGCCTTAGTACCTTTACAAGGTAGCCATCACAATAAGTTGTTTACGTTTAAAGTTTAAACTTGAATACCTATTGTTTATGCTAGAGACATTGCTAAAATGCGACTGAACTGCCCTTACACTTAAAATTACATACTTAATATAACTTAACATTATTCAGGTGGAGTGTGGTAATTTCTTGCGCCTCATAAAAAAAACGCGCAGTGGTGGGTTCCGTAATTGCCTGTAGTTACCACAATATATTTCAGCATGAGTCTTTATCTTCTATATCGGAAATTACACAAACCAATTAATATAAATCTATGTATCTCAACTAAAATACAATCATAAATCAGAAATCAATAAATCTTTATTCAAATTGGATGTATAGTACGACACTTTTGAATCGTCCAAACATTTTATTCCCTACCACTCGTTATTGGATATATTTTAGCTGCCGAGAAAAACGAGCGAAAAAATACTCCACAACATTAAAAGCATAAAATGTAACAACATTTACAAATTATGTTGTTTCAGTGTCAATACAAGCATGATTTATTTAATATAGAAAACCTGTTGGAATGATTGGAACAGTTCAAACCCAAGCATTTTTCGTAGTAATATAATCAGACACTTTGTAATAAGCTTTTTTAATAAGTGCTTTTTTTATACTATCTTTGAATTAATTTATACCTAAATCAAAGTCAAACAGCGTCTCAAACTCAAAATCAATTCGAGTTTTTTTTAATACGATACGAATGATAACCTCCGATTTTTTTCCTCCCAGGCGTGTGGGAAATCCTCATGGATACCCTACAGCCGGCTGCAAGGTTATGTCAAACTTTTACTGACTAAAACACACCCGTAGTTCATGCTAATGGCCTTACAAGCTTCATCTGAAGCGAACATCCTCTGAGAATGAGATGATGTGGTATAACCGCCGATTTTTTTTGTTTCCTCCCAGGCGGGGGAGCGGGTGAGAAATCCTCATGGATACCCTACAGCCGGCTGTAGGGTTATGTCAGACTCTTACTGACTAAAAAACCACCCGTTAATCATGCTTATGGCCAGAAGGGCCTTACAAGCTTCATCTGAAGCGAACGTCCTATGAGAATGATATGATGCGGTATAACCGCCGATCTTTTCAAGTGCTTATATACTTTTTTTATAAAAACGTAACGTTAGCGAGACTCAGAAGCCGTTGCCGTTGGTACTCGCCGTAGCGTTATGGTACTAATGATATTTTATTGATTTTCAGGATTACGGAACCGTAAAAAGAAAGTTTTTCAAATTTGGTTTTCTTTTGTTTCAGATAAATACAAAAATGGCGGCAAACATAGTCAGCAGAATATTCCTGCTGCTGGCAGCGGCACACTGCGGCGCTGCGACGGACTTACTCAGGAGTGAGTTTCAATTTTCAACAACAGATGGCGTTGCCACATGCCGCAGGGATTATTAAAAATTTCCAGCGGCACAGAGCAGAAAACACGTGCAGCTGATATTACATACCAATAAATTCATCAAAATATATTAAATTCAAATCTAGCAGATACATGGAAGTTTCTCAAAACTCTTGGTTTTGGTAAAACTACCACCAAACATATCCCTTCATTTTCACTGGATGAGCTGAACAAGCATTTCTCATCAGTTACTTCTCTCCCTACTTCTGTTATGCTCTCCATTGTTTCTTCTAATACTTCCATGGCTCCCTCAACGAGTACTGTATTTGTTTTCGTCCTCTGACTGAAAAAGATGTCCGTAAGATTGTCCTTTCCATAAAGTCTAAGGCATTGGGTTGTGACGATATTGGCAGAACTATGATTATCCCTATACTAGATTGTATACTTCCGAGTCTCACCTTAATTTTTACCTTTCTTCGAGTACCTTTCCCTCTATCTGGCGAAAAGCACTAGCTACGACTCTCCCAAAAATTAATAGTTCCTCCTCTCTAAGTCATTATATATACTTCCTGTTCGTGAGAACCCCTTCGATAGCCCACGAGAACAAGTTGGTTTGGTCGCTGATCCTACCGCTTCTAATGGTAAAATTCAGGCACAGGATTCCCCACTACGAAGTAAACCACTCACCTTGACTTCGCCAGTATGAGCTCGTGCTGGAAGCGTTACGTGTCCACGTGGTCACCCACTCAGAGTCCTTATTGTGCACCAATTTCAAATACAGCTGTTCCACCAATATTATTTGATATACGAGACAACTTAAGCAGTTCACTTATAACTATTAATGATAATCCACCGAAAATCGATACTACGAAATATAGTCCAGCAACTCTTGTGTGCGCTCGCGCCGCCGTGAGAGGTAATGTGGCAGTGACAGCAGCGCCCGTTACCGTTGAGTCGTGGATTTGTGGTTTACCCACATAATAAGAAATACCGTGCCTCAACACTTCCTTTTCTTTCAAAAGTTTAAGAAGCTGCTGTCCATAATCAACTCTCCTCTCTTATCTTTCGCCACAAAATTCTTAGCCCATTACAATCTGGGTTTCGTCCTGGTCATAGTACAACCACTGCTCTTATCAATGTCCTGGATGACATTCGCAACGGTATGGAGAAATCGCAGTTAACTGTTCTGGTTCTCATTGACTTCTCAAACGCATTCAACAAGGTTAACTATGATATTCTCCTCGCTATCCTTTCACATCTGGTAGTTTCTTCTTCAGTAGAAACCTGGTTTTCATCATATCTTCGTGGAAGCCAGCAGGCTGTTCGGGTAGACCAGACCATCTCAGACAGTTCCACAGGGCGGCATTCTATCTCCTCTTCTTTTTTCGTTGTTTATCAACTTTCTTACTACCATGATTCATTCCTCTGACCATCTATATGCGGATGATCTCCAACTTTATGTGCATGAAATGGTTTAGATGAAGCCCTGACGCGGCCAAATGATGACCTGCAGAGGATTTCAGAATGGTCCAACTGTTATGGTATCTCCGTAAATCCAGTAAAATATCAAGCAATAATAATAGGTGGCTCCCGACAGTTGGCCCTTCTGGATTTAGCGTCACTAAAACCGGTACTTTATAACTATACTACAATTAGATTTCAACCTAGCGTCAAATATCTGGGTCTCATAGACTGTTCCCTCAGCTGGGAAGATCAAGTTATTAATAAAGTTTGCCGTAAAGTTATTAACAGAGTTAGGGCTCTGTACAGATTGAAATTCTTTTTCCCTTCCAGTACAAAGGTTGCGCTCGTAAAAGCTCTCATTCTTCCTATCCTTGACTATGCTGACGTCTGCTATTCTGACACCAATCAAAACCTTCTTTCTAAACTTGATCGTTTGCTCAATAGCGGTATTCGCTTTATCTTCGGTTTGCATAAGTACGACCATATCTCTCACTATAGAAATGAACTCAAGTGGCTGTCCATACGTGACGTGTATTATTATATATACCTATTTTATTTATCTCTCCAGGTGTAAGACAGGCCCCAGGCAGCATCTTCACGGTAGGCAACGGAGAGCCATGCCTCGGCTCCGACAGGTCGACAGGTGGAGTCTGTCTATCCAGGAATCAATGCAACACGCAGGGCGGGAAGGCCATTGGATTCTGCGGTGTCTTCGCTACATGTTGTTCGCGTAAGTTCAGCTTTATTGAAACTTCATATACTTAACTAAGGCCCGTATTACAGAATGACTACTACTCGTAAGTGTTGATCTTTACTTGAGTACAGTTAGAAAGGGATGTCGCTATGTGCTATATATATATAGCGACATCCCTTTCTAACTAAGCTCAAGACTAGATCAATCACTGAGAATCTTTGAATGACAACTAAGTGTTGATCTTTATTTGAGTACAGTTAGAAAGGGATATTGCTATGTGCTATATATAGCGACATCCCTTTCTAACTAAGCTCAAGACTAGATCAATCACTGAGAATCTTTGAATGACATCTAAGTGTTGATCTTCACTTGAGTACAGTTAGAAAGGGATATTGCTATGTGCTATATATAGCGACATCCCTTTCTAACTACGCTCAAACCTAGATCAATCACTGAGAATCTTTATATAATACGGGCCTAAGAGAGTTAGGATTGCCGCTCATATTGGAGCGCCCGTATGGGAAAGCAACATTCACCTTACAGAAGAGAGCAAGAAAGAGAGAGATAGGGTAACATTTTATTGACCATAATAAAAATTATCTATAATAAAAACAGTAAAAAAAAACAGATTAAGAGCCCTTTCACATTTTTTGCAAAAAATCGTAATTTTGTAGATTTATTCTTCCTATTGTAAGTTAATGTAGACTATTTGAAAATACTATTTTCCTTTTTTGTACTGATCGTTCTACTGCAGCTAGTTTACGGAAAAAACGATAATATGCACAAATTAAAACGCCTCGATCTCTCAATAAAGTTCAATAAATAAGATCAAATTAATTACTACGACATCAGAAATTTGTTTTTGTTGTAACATAATGTATTTTTTATATTTATTTTGATTTTCCATCTCATTAATTATCAAAAAAAAAAACATCAAACCTCCGTGAGTTTTCCCAAAAAATAATGCAGGTTTACCTCGTATTTTGATATTGAATTAAATAGTATTACCACCAAAAACTAATCGACCATCATAGAACTATTGAAATATGTATATATTTTTTATAATTAGTTCATTAATAATTATTTTATAAGACTTGAAACATCACCCGTAAAATGCAATATATACTCGTGCAAATCTACCTACGCGCCGATCAGTACGGCAGCGGCACAATTTTGTAAAAGGGCTCTTAATTATATTATGGTTTATGGTCAATCAGGACCCTGCCTCAGCATAATGCTGCCACAATTCGCCACAAAACGTGTCACAGCAGCGCTGGTATTCTGGCAAGGCCTGTAATGCCGGTACTTCAAACGGCCAATCAAATCCGCCATCCACAAACTCCAAAGCAATCCACAGAAGACTACAGTAAATAAACACTACCTTTAGATGGTGCTGTGTGTCTGCTCATGAGCAGGGTTTCAGGGCTCCGTGGGGTGGGGAATTGGGTTCAGGTTCGTCAAGGTGAGGATGGCTGAAGTGGCACATTTTCTGCCGCATCGTCATCTTCTTAACTGGACTCCACTTACTCCTAACATCAGGTGGGGTGTTGTAATTTGTTCCGCTGCGTATAATAAAACTAAATTTCCTTGAAGAATGCCTTTGGATTCTCCTTATTAAAAATATAGAAATAAAAATATTATGTGTGTGTAAAGAAAAACTAATTATAACAATTTCCATCTTTTTTTATCCTAATGCTGCCATAACCAAAGCTTTATGCTTAGAGCTTCTGGCATATGATTCAGGTAAGATTATTTTATAACTATCAAGCGAATCTCGACAAAGAAGCTAAACCAAAGATTCAATGAGAGCGTGAATTCCGTAAGAACGGTTGTTAACGACCGATTTTCTACCCGGTCTAGGCACGGTTTGTACCCGGGCCGATGCCAGCTAATCTTGTTCATGAGCACGGTTTGTGCTTTTTTTTAAGTGTGTATGCTGTTGGTCGCAGATAATCTTTACAGCGTCACCCGGTTTGGGGACGGCGAAATCCTAAGAGGATCTCAAGCCGAGAATTGGCGAGTGCCTCTAGAGGTATTCCAGACGGATGGCATCTCCCCACTGGGGGGAGTCCCTTCTCCGCCTGGGGCCTCTAGACCACTCGAACCTGAGGGGGATGATTTACGCGTTTGTACTAACCCCAAACTGTTCCGGTGGCGTTAACAAACCACCGTAGTGTCCCATACTTAATTGACGTCCTATAGCCTAGACCCGGGTAGAAATAGTCTCGTCAACGAGCGCCCTAGACGTAACAACCGCCAAAGAAGAGTGCATTGTTTGTTTATCTTTTCAATGAGTTGCATTCTATAGTGCAGTACGCGCGAAAGATGAGTCTTGACGAGCTCCGTGCCGCACTAGCCACGCTCTTGCCACCACCCCGATGGCGCCCGGTCCCTTCCCCTCTCAGACCTCATACCGCTAAAGAGACCTTTAAGTCGTCTACTGTGCATGTCAAAGCACGTGGCGCGCGTCGAGTCTCATCTTTCGTGGCGCGTATTGTACGGATCAAGCTTTATTGCGATTGTCAACTAGTGTTCAGTTCAGTGGTATCCCGTGCGCGTCTACATCACGTTTTTTTTTTACGCACGCCAAACCTCTATTTACAGATATTGGCGCCCTTAAGGGGTACACCAACGAACGGACCTCACGCCTAGCCTCTCGCAAGTCTCACGGGTGCGAAACGGAGAAGCCGTTAAGTAGTCCGCGCGGCTTACGAGCGCTTACGGCAAACTATCCGCTGAAAACCCTGCGAATACCCTCTACGCTGCTAAGTGCGGAACCACGTGATCCCCGTTAAGGGATTTCACCGCGTCGCGCCTACATCACCCTATATTTCACATGCGCTCTTCGCAGCCGCTACCTCCGCTTAGTTTGAATCACACGATAATATTCATTCTTCCATATTTGATATATTAATTATATCTATCTCTTGGATTCTGGCTACCACGATTACGCAAGCATGAGGCCTCAACACCATAGGCGCATTTTTGTCGGTCGATAATATCGGATGTGTTATTGCGATAATTTGTACTTCTATTGTGTCATTATTATCGCAGCAGTGTGTAACTTTGTAGCCGTTCTAGTACATTATGTACTAAAACAAGATCATAATCATAAGCTTTATTGCTTCATGTTGGTACATACATGGGTTCCTAAATTTAAAATAAAGATTCACAACATTAGCCCTGCAACGGCATTGCAATTTTTTTTAAGATATCACAATAACGCCTCCTATATTATCAATAGGGGAAAACTTAAAAAAGGAAATACAAATTATGCATACTTTCGTTCGCAGTGAACGCTTGTGACGTCAGAACGAACACCAAAGTGGCCGTATTCATAAACCCTCCCCTGAACAAGGAGTCGTCTGGTCTCGAATGTTCCTACAACGTTGAGATCAACAACAACAACGTCTGCCAGATGAGGATCGACTTTGAGACGTTCAACCTTGCCCCGCCCACTACGGTAAGTTGAATCGAGTTTTTCATCATTATCATCATCATAATCAGCCTATTAATATCTCCACTGCTGGGGCGCAGGCCTTCGCTACGGATGGAATAGGGAGATTAGGCTATGACCCACCACGCGAGCCCAGTCCAGTTTGGCGGGTGCTAACGACTGCAGATGCAGCCGGGACCAAAGGCTTAACGTGCCTTCCGAAGCACAGAGGAACGTGAGATAGAAGATTTTTGGTCACCCATCCAATGCGAAAGTTGCTTAACTTCAACGATCACAGCCGAACGCGCTAACTACCTGCGCCATCGAGCTCCTCAATCGAGACAGCTCCAATTCAAGTTTGGCTCCTCAATCGAATCGAGTCATTATCATCAGCATATCAATGTCCCCACTGCTGGGCTTCGGAAGACACGTTAAGCTGTTGCAAGTGGCATTGGGCTCAAGAGCCTTCGCTGACACGGAGCGGACGTCCTTCGCGGAAATCCGCTGCCACCTCTTGCAACGCCGCCAGTACAAGTCAGTCTCGTCAAAGCCTATTCATGTCTCCATTGCTGGGACACAGGCCTTCCCTATGGATGGAAAAGGAAGAATGGAACCATCACGCGGACCTAGTGCAGATTGTTGGTTGCTAACGACTACATATACAGCCGGGACCAACAGCTTTACGTGCATACAAAAGGACGGAGAAGCTCAAGATGGTAAATTTTTAGTCCCCCATCCAATGACCAACCACTGCGAAAGTTGTTTGGCTTTCACGATCGCATGCCGAATGCGCTCACTACCTGCGCCATCGCATCGATCTCCTCTTTCCATATAGACCCCCACCTTTAATCTTCACTATTTCTGCAAGCTAACTTTATCAGTTGAATTATTCTATTACTTCAAACTCCATCGGATTACTTGACTTGATTTCAGTTCTTTACCTATACCATACCTATTCCAAGTCGATCCAGTGTCATTCTATAACCTTCTATCACTAGCAATCTCGTATGGCTACAGTAGTGGTCCATATAAGTCGAAAGCCCGGCTTGCCCTAGGATTTTCTGGAATGACGGGTGCCAGGAGGCGGTATTGAGCCGAAAGATCTACTCATCCACGGATCAATTCAAATGCTCATGCGATTATTTCACTAAAGAACTTAATACAAAATACCTCACTTCTCACGTCACAGTGGTGCCAAATGGTGGTGTAAATTGCTCTAAACACCCTCATTGATTATAACAACTGACATGACACAAAATAAAATTAAGTACCTTAAACAAATTGTTAATTTGTTCCGCCAAGTCAAGACAGTAGTAGTAATTTTGGAATCTTCGGGCTTACCCTATACTGAAGCTGTAGACACGCCACTGTTTGGGTTAGTTGAAGTAAAGTCCAGCAGTTCGTTGACGTGAGCACTTGATCCCAGGTCGAACCCGTAGAGAACGTGACGCAGCGTCCTGGCTTCACCTGCAGGAACGACATCTTCCAAGTGACCAACCTTCAAGCTAACTCCGACTACATGCCTGCTCTCTGCGGCGACAACAATGGACAGCATTGTAAGTAAATGTTTAAATATGGATAAGGAAGTTACACAGGGGTATGTGATTATGATTATGATATTGTCCCATCTGCTTCGGAGCAGGACTTGCTTACTGATAGAAATACAAATAGAGAATGAGTGAATTACCCTTCGGACTGTAGGCCCCCCATCAAGATTTCTATAGTACTGATGTCTGCTGATACTGATCTGATTAAGTACCAGGACCAGATCAGGTCATACATGACTAAGAGGTATTTGTTTCTTAGGTTTTCACGCACATCACTCATTAAATAAAACTAGTTTTAACGAGTTAATGCACGAAACTTTATTTATTTATTGACGTTTCGCAGCCTTTTCAGGTCTGATTCTGACGAAGCAGGAAGCTGCGCAGAACGGAAAAAATCTCTTTTTTCATATATATAAAATAAATCAGGTTATTCGGCCAAGGGCTGATAATTTAATTTTACATTGTACCCTCAAGGGAACAGCCAAAGGTACACAGGAAAACAAGCGATAAATACTTTATTTTCTAGTGGCCAGTATCGCTAATCATGACAGAGCTGTGACATACCAGTAATCAATATACAAGTTTAGATGTAAATTCTGTAGAAATCCTAATGTTATCCCTAGGGGAGCCATCAGGGGAGAAAACAGACCGAAGGGATTAATTATACTACTGAGCGGAAACTGCTAATGTAGCCAGAACTAAAAACAGTGTTACGTGTCTTCTACGCGTGTGTTAAGATCAACTTATACCCGAACACTGGATAGCAGGCATGTGTATAGAGTCAAGCCGATATTGCCCCGATCGCCGTACGCCCTAGATTGCCCCTGCGGCAGGGATGACAGTAGCCCGCTTAAAGCACGGAGATGCTTAAGTTAAAGAGTGATTCTCAACTAAGACCTCAACGATTGTGAAAGTTGCTTAACATCAAGAACAGCAAACTGAAGATGCAAGGAGAGTATCTTCTTCTTTGAGAATAGCGAAGGCAATAAAAAATTTAGTCTTCGTCGAGTAAATCTTTCCACCTTGCCTTATTTTGGACTGTAAGTTTCCAACGGCGTCTTGCGACCTGATGACACATTTTCATAACTTAAGTAGTCTAGATTTCGATTTTCCTGATCGCATTTTTAATGTATCTGGGCTCAGAATATATCAGAACAGAATAATTATAGCTGGCTAATTCTGCTTTCCCTTCATGGATGATGAATATATAAATAAAACTAGTTTGAACGGGTTAATGGGCACGAAATTTATTTATTGACGTTTCGCAGCCCTTTCAGTAAAATCAATAAGTCAAACGTCATCAATAAATAAATAAATTTGCTTAATAATAATTTGCGTCCATTAACCCGTTAAAACTAGTTTTATTTAATTAGTGATGTGCGTGAAAACCTAAGAAACAAACAGGGTGAATAGGTTTATTGATTGTTTTATCATAATTCGCAGTGTATGTACGTGTCAATGCATCCACCAACAGTCGCTCCATCAGGATTAACTTCAAGATAGCCGACCGTAACACCCAGCCGAACTTACCTCAAGCTACTTGGAAGATTAAAGTCACTCAGCTGGAGTGCTTCAATACTTTAGGGTAAGTTACTAGTCTTAAAGAAAACACTTAAATACATTCTGACTTGGTATTCCAAAATGTTGACAAAAGTTGAACCTGGTTTAAGACTGATGCTGTCACTTTTATTTGCTGAAAAGAAGACAGAGGTGATTAGGTTTTAACCAAGACTAACTTTACTCCGCGTTTTGGAATAAAGCGGATCTCTTCAACAGATCCTTGCAGATCCCACCTCAAATCCTTTCTAAAATGTTCCACCCATAACTTAGTACCTAGTTTCGAATCCTATTCCTTCTCAGTACATGCCGCCCGTTTGTGGAATTCGCTGCCAGCAGAAATTAGAGACTCTAGTTCTGTCTCACTGTTCAAAAAACATCTGAAGGAACACTATTTATCTTCTTGCCCTTAATTTTGCCCTTGTTCTTCTCATTGTTTCTCTTCTCGTCGTCCATATTATATATATGTATGTATTTATTTATATTCGTATGTGTATGTATTAATTCATTATTTAAGTACTTGTATGTATAAACCTTTATATGTAAACCCCATATGTATTGGTATTAACATGTATTTATATTCAGGTGTACACGCTGACTACCTTTACCTATATTCTTTCCTACTTCGGGCCTACTGCAAGAAATTTCAGATTGAAATAAGTTGTGCTCTTGTAATTAAGTTGCTCCTGTATTATTTTTGTGTGTACAGAATATATAAATAAATAAAAATAAAGCGGATTCCATTAAAAATACTTTACTCTGACAAAAATTAACATAGTGTTATTTCACTGTGGTATTCTGTACTATAGAGGTTACTTCCAAAAAGGGTGCTTCCTGGATGGATTGATATTATACTTATTTTATTTATTTATGATCAGGCTACATAGGCCCATAGATAAATGTCTTACAGTCTTCTATCTATCTATATATCTATACATATATATCTATATATATATATATATATATATATATATATATATATATATATATATATATATATATATATATATATATATATATATATAATTCAAAGGTGACTGACTGACTGACATAGTGATCATAGTGATCTATTAACGCACAGCCCAAACCACTGGACGGATCGGGCTGAAATTTGGCATGCAGGTATAAAAAGAATCATAGATGAGAACAAAAACTGTAGTCTACACTTCAGCTCTACACGGAAGCGAAGCGAGGGCGGGCCGCTAGTCTAACATATATACAGATATAAAGCATTGTTGTCAATAAATTAGTAACTATGTCAGTAAACAGCTGATTTTAACATGTATAGACGGCGACGTGTGACGCGTGTTAATATCAGGTAACCGGCCTTGGAATCACCGGAACACAACACCTTTTAGCTAAAGTTCTTCTTTCATAAAAGTCGCTAGATGTTGGGTCGGTCACCCTCACCACATATGAATTAAAATGTGATGGGACTCCAACCGTGCTAACCTCAAGGAGGGAACAAATTTTTAATAATGCCAAAGAAGTATAACTGATGATTGACGACCTCCGTGGCCGAGTGGTTTGTACGCCGGGTTTCATGGTGTCGCCGACTCGCGAGGTCCCGGGTTCGAATCCCGGTGGGGGCAGATGTTTGTGTGATGAACAAAAGCATTTGTACTCCAGTCATGGATGTTTAATATCTATCTTTATATATATAATTCTTCTGTGAGTGTGTATGTCACTGAACTTCTCTTAAACGACTGGACCGATTTTGATGAAATTTTTTGTGTGTGTTCAAGGGGATCTGAGAATGGTTTAGATTCACAATTTTGTCCGCTGGACAACCCCTATTTTTTTAGGGCGGTACGAAGTTCGCTGGGTCAGCTAGTTTCTATATAAATATACTTATATATGTACTGTATATGTAATATATCCGTTACCCTAGCATCCCATAACACAAGCCTTATAGTGCTTACTTTGGAGCTAGGCTAATTGGTGTGTGTTGGAAATATTTATTTATTGAATCTCAAATTATGGCTTTGTTTTTAGTAAATATCGAGATGGACTCTTCGAAGCAATCACCTCCTCATTACCCAGCACTCCTCTCACGACTTCAGCAGACAGAGATGAATATCTGATTGGTGAGTATAGGCAAATATGAAATGACCGTTTGCATGAAATTTACTCTGACCTTTCTAAATAAATTTTTAGGTGACTCCTGAGTGTTAAATTAGTCTGTACCAAATTTTAACATTATACCTTACTCGCTAATAAATTGTATGACTTTGTGAACGTCAAATATTTCCCCAAAAACTCAATGCAATAATTTTAACATCAATATTAATCGCCTTCCACTTTTTAGTACTAATTAGACTAAATTTTAGTTGCATGCTATTTTCATATAATTATTGGGAGTATTTTAATAATATATTTGTAGGAACATGGCGTAGAAACAAAGGGTGATTTCTAGGAAAAACTATCCTTTGTCCTTCGCCGGGACTCGACCTATCTTTATGCCAAATTTCATCTAAATTGCTTCGGCGGTTTAAGCGTGAAGAGGTTGAGACAGACAGATAGAGACACACTTTCTCATATATAATGGCGCAACTACATTTAGTCGTTGGCCCGATTCGGGTGCAAGAAAGACATTACTCGAATTCGGGCACCCGAAGAAATATTTACACTGGAAAAACGGACTGGAAGACGGTGTCGGGTAACCAAAACGAAAATTACCCGAATACTGGTGTACTCGACTCCGTTCATTTACACTCAGTTGTTTACCCGAATTCCGTTAGCATTCGGTCTAACGACCATGTTTAATCGCGCCATAATATTAGTATTGATCACCTTAGTAGTGCAAATAGGTATAACGCCCAAGTATTGTAGTTGGGTGTTAATAAAAACTGTACCCCTAGCACGAACCATTATCGAATTCGAATAGTTTGCAAACCGAAATGTCAATGTCAAATTCTGTATGGAAAATTGAACAGCAGCGGCACAAAGTACGTAACGAGAACTAAAAATCAGTACACATTTGACAATGACATTTCGGACTCGCAAACGATACGAATTCGATATTGGGTCGTTCTAGGGGTACCTACTGTAATCATCAGTCTATTCCACCTAATTGAACACCCACGCAGGCCCAGTGCGGATTGGTGGGTGCTAACGACTGCAAAAGCAGCTGGGACCAACGGCTTGAAGTGCCCTCTGAAGTTCAAGATGTTTGGTCATTCATCCAATGACCAATGAATCGCAGTAAAATGCGCTAACCACTTTCGCCAACGCAATCTCTCAACAATCTACTGTTCAAAAACTAATTCAAATATTTGTAACCGGCTCGTAATGAAGCGACTTTTAAACGGCACCAACATCATTCTGAACATGATCGCGGCCATACCTGATTGCCATATTCGGAAACACTGGATGGAATTGACAGTGTAGAGTCTGTGCGGAAAGAGAATGGGATTTAGATTGGAGGGCGCTGTAGTGCTTTTCTACCGTATTTGTAAGATTTTATCCCTTATCTATTAGACATGATTAAATACAAAAAACCGCAAGAAATCACAACAACAAACAAATCCGTATCAATACAAAACTTTGACGTTTTATAGATTGCTGGGTTTGATTGCCAAATAAAAATCTTAATGTTAGTTCCGTTTTTCGCCACGCCTCTTTCCGCACAGATTCTATCTATATAACAATGTCACAGGTTAATAATTTAACATGATAAATTTGTATATATATGTGTAGGTATATTATAAAAAAAAATATGTATTTGTGTATCCATTTCTTGTAATTTTGTGTCTCTATGGGTTCTGATATCTGTAATAAATATAAAAAAAATTTGTTCACAGCACCTCCTGGCTGCCTCCAGTATTACCCTGACAGGGCAGGCTCTTTCGAATCGTTCAATTACAACCGAGGCTCTGGCCCTTACATAGCGAACTTGGCTTATGCTACATGCTTCAAGAAAACGCCTGATGTTTGTGGCATCAAGTAAGTTATATTACATATTAATGTCTATTAATGTTCCCATTGCTGGGGCACATGCCTTCCCTAGGATGGAATACAGAAAACGGACCGTGATATACAATGCGAGTTATGGTGGGTGTTAACGAATACAGATGCAGATAGAACCGATGGCTTAACGTGCCTTCCGAAACCCGTCCTGTGACCTTAGATTAAAACAAAAAGGGAAGATACGGTACGCTCATACAGTGGCGGCGCTAGGCGTCGGCGACGTCGGCCACCGCCGACGGCCTCGCGCCTGAGGAGGCCTCGCAAAAAATTTTTACAAGTTACCTATTTATTTTCGTTTCTCCTGGCCTGGCTTAGGTAGCCGACCCCGAACAATTCGGGGAAAAAGCTAAGCAGATGATAATGACTTTTATTAATTTCGAACACGTGCGTGATGGAAGCAAGTAGTACTTTAAGGGTATTAAGAATCGTCTGTATGGCAACACTATTTTTGTAATTAAATTTCTATGTTTGTAATTATTTTTTACATCATTTGATTATCAACAATAAAACTCGTTTACTCATACGTGATTTTATAATTTGGCTCACTTAATTTAACGGTTTTTTACTGCGAAGTAAAAAGGGCCTCGCGAACTTGATGTCGCCGACGTCCACATGTGGTCTAGCGCCGCCACTGCGCTCATACTAGCATCAAATAAAATATGATCTGACTCAACTACATAAGCAACTCTCACACACGCACACGTCTGTAAATAAACATTCAATAGAGCGAGCGTGACAGAACTGTACGCTTCAGCCCAGCGCGAGCGAAACGGCGAGTCTATTTCAGAGTCCGCACGGCAGAGTTGTATTGTTGTCCTTTTCTTGACAATTAAATAGCGATTACGTAAATAACATTCACGACACACCGCGATTTTGGAGAGAAAATGATTTTACAGTTTTACGAATGAAAAGGGTTGCCGAGGCGTTTGTTATTATTTGTTTTAGAACTATTTGTGTTATTTATAAAAGCATCAAAGGCATTGTTTTATCTTTATAACACGTATTATACGCAATATTGTTATATTGAGTGCACATCCAGCGTGTTTCAATATCCCATAGTTTGACTAAAGCGAATTTCTGGTCAGGCACCACGACTTAAACGGATCATTTTTTAGGCACGAGTGTCGTATCTTCCCTTGTTTGTTTTAATCTAAGCCTATGACCCACAATTGCGAAAGTTTGTTAACTTTCACGATCACAGACTGAACGCTTACAACTATGCATTCGATCTCCTCAATGCATTAGAGCTAGAACACACTTGCAATTAATTCAGCCTCTTCAATTACGCCGTGACGTGGCGTCACTAAGCGCGTTCTATCGCCTGTACCACGGCGAGTGTTCTGAGGAGTTATTCTCTCTTATTCCACCTTCCCCTTTCCTTCAGAGGACCACGCGCGCTGGCTTACGTTGTCACCGTCTAACTGTGGCTACAATGCCAACGCGTACAAAGAAATTTGGTGACTCATTTCTTTGTCGTACTATCCGTAAATGGAATGCTCTGCCCGCTCACGTGTTCCCTCCCTCTTACAACCTGGGATCCTTTAAAAGAGGCGTGAAGAAGCAACTTGCAGGCCGGCAGGGTGAGGATGGCTGGTGTGGCAGTTAGAACTGCTGTATCAGCTATCTTCGCGTCTGGACTTCACCTTCACTTAACATCAGGTGGGGTGGAGTCATTTGTCGGATCTATCTATAAAAAATAAAAAAATTACAGTGCGACAGTTATGCGGACCTCAGCAAATATGAAATTTGCACGAGCGCCAACAACTTGCGGTAGTTTCAAAACGATTTAATGTATACTTTCATAAGATCTGCACAACTGTCGCACTGGCTAGGCCGAGAAAACTTTTTCCTACAAAAGTATTCTCTGGGTATAAAAATCAAGAAGCTTAAGAATATCATAATTGATTTCAGGTTGACATCTGCAAGCTTCGAGATGGCGTACCGCCAGGAAGACAATTTATACCTGGACACAGATTGCCAGATCAATCCTGTGACTCAAGGAGCGGCACAGTCCGAAGACTACCTGTTCATCCCTGAAGCTGAGACTACTGATGGCCTTAGAGGTTCCAAGTTCTGCGGAAGCAGTGCCGCTAACCAGATCATAGCTTGTAAGTAATTCATGTGGAATATTTTTAACTGGAGTGTGTTCATCAACACTGCTGGGGTACAAGCTATACCTATGGATGAAATAGCAAATATGGCTTATTCTCTGGAGCATGTTCCTGATCACTGGATGGTCACAAGCATTCCCTATGAATGGAATAGCAAGAATGGCTTATAGCCTTTATTCATATTCTTCATCATCATTATCAGCCTGTTAATCTCCCCACTGCTGGGGCACAGGCCTTCCCTATGGATGGAGTGGGGAGACTGGACCGTGCTTCACTACGCGGGCCTAGTGGGGATTGGTGGGTGCTAACGACTGCAGATGCAGCGGGGACCAACGGCTTAACATGCCTTCCGAAGCAAGAAGGAGATACATAGCATTCGCTCTCAACATAAACGAATTTCCCGCTTGGCAAAGCACGATTAGGTTAGACCGTGAGTATATTGCGATTCAAATAAGAATAGGAAAGCCAATGACCTCTATCTGTCAAATGTCGCTTGAAAAGTACGGTTTGCAAAAAAAACTTGGAACCCCTTTTTAGCACTCCTCTAATTCAAGAATAAAAACCAAACATTTGTAAACAAACAATAACAAATATTGATAATTAATATCGGTTGTTATTTTTTTTTTCACTTATTGAGCTTTGGCCATGAATGGTTGATAACCTAAATCGTCAACCAAATGTCACTTTAAATTGCGTTCAGAAACTCGATTTCAAACTTTCGTTTACATAAAGGATGCATGAACGTATGTGACCTACTAATAGTGCATGATTATTCATAACTACTCCGGCGTTAATGATGAGATGAGCGCAATAGAAGAGCTAGATTCTGATTAATGTTTTTTCTCACAGTCTTAATAAATAAATATTATTAAGAATCGGGGTTTTTTTTCTCAATCTTAGTAAATAAATGTTATTAAAAAAATCTGATAGTTTTTCTCACTTAATCTTAGTAAATAAATTTGATTAAATAAAAACTTTTTTTTGCTCACTCTACCTATTTGGTTTGAATTGACAGCTATATATGACATCACAATATGGCGCCCAGTCGGTCCTATTCTTAGTTGAATCGCATTATAATTAGATTTTGTTATGTTCTTAGTTGGTGGTGACTCTCCAAACTAATACAAAATTCTATAACATAGATGCTGTTTACGTGACAGATTAATTTATAGCAGATACTGCCCCCCTAGCTTGAGCACCGCGATATGATATATAGATAAAGCGTTTTTATCACGCTCAATAGGGGTGATGACGGGGTACAGTAAACGAAATTCTATTTAGTCCGTCAGTTAGATGATCAAAAAATAATGCACATGTATTTTTTCTTTTTGCAATCAAGCAAAAAATGACAAAGTTATAGCGCGTCAAAGTTTGGGAGTAGGGGCTCGTGACGTCACTTTTTAGTGAATTTTCACTTATATGTGTACTCAAACGTGACGTCATGCGACTTTTCAAATAAATATATCTCTGCAATGTTTATATTATGTGAAAAAAGAAAAAATACGTGTCCAATACTTTTTGATAATCTACCTGATAAACGAAGAAAAAAAAATTGTTGATTGATTTTATTGTTTGTTTTACAGCGACTCCGCCTGGACCGCTGTACGTGCATTTCCACAGCGACAATTTGGTGTCAGACGACATCACAGAGTCCGGATACAGATTTAACTACAACGTACTAAACAATTGCTATCTGAAAAAATAAATTGGACTTTTGAGATTGTTAAATTAGCCAATTAACTCCTTTGCCATATCAGTACAACGAAAAAAAAAAGTGTTTTTTTTTTGTTCTCATCAAAAATGCTCTCTATGGTTCTTGTTTATTTTTAGTTAACATGTCGAATTAAGACTGTTTTGTTTTCAGTATTTTTGTTTTTTTTTTTAATAATTTTGAATTGCTTTTGTTGTAAACAAATGTTTTACTTAATTATTTTGCGAGTTACAATCTGCTATTTCTATATTAGAATAACTTTTGTAATACAATAAAATAACTTATGTAATACACTAGCTAAGTATTTGATAGTAAGATATTAGCCATTATTTGTAATAATAAAGTGATCCAATTTGCATTTTTTAGTTTTAAGAACCTATTTTAGTGCCAATATTCACATTTTGTAATGTGCCTCTAATAAATTATTTTATAAGTAACTATCTGTCTTTTAATATTGTTACGTGTCGGGATGGGGTTCGAAATTATATGCCAGTTCACGCTTGACAGTTCTTTATTCACCACACAGTTCACACAATGTTAATTACAAAACACTCACTAAACACTGTATTTCACTATACAATTCACTAAGCAATCGCACTTGAACACTTTTGTTGCACTTTGATCGCCTTTGGATTCGCTCCGAAATCGCTGTTGAAACTCAACTGTCTCTGCGCGATCCCCCCCAGGCGGGGGGGGGGGGGGTGAAATCCTCATGGATACCTTACAGCCGGCTGCAAGGTTATGTCAGACTCCTACTGAATAAAACACACCCGTAGTTTATGCTTATGGCCTGAAGGGCCTTACAAGCTTCATCTGAAGCGATTATCCCCTGAGAGGGGGATAATGCAGATCTCTGCGCGGCGCCAATCGCGCTTATATACGCCGATCGACGCATTCTAGAAAATACCTGTTAAATTGAGAATTAGCTAGCACCCGCGAGTACGAAGTACCTACATATACCTACGCAGGTAACGCGCATAACTTGTAAACAAGTGCAGATGTCGTTGCACTTTCTCCCTTACGCCGCACTGCATAAGACTGCATTAGAATGAGCCGCATTACTCGACCTATATCGCGACCCGCGGTGATCTGGCAAATTCGATCTCTAGCACTTTCGCGGTTTCGTTCCGAGTGTGTTTGTGACAATACATATTGATTGTTGTCTAATCACAAAAAAATGGTGAGGGTTTTCAAAACCATAATTAAAAAAAAGTTAGAGGACTCAAACAACACCATCGGTGAGTTGCGGGCTCAGGTAGAGTTATTCAGTAACGCTGCCGGTGCAAGTAGGTCACCCGAGGCACGGTAATATTATCTATACAGTATTGTGACTCCGCCCTGTCCTTGAAAATAAATGCCTACGACCGAGCGCGCTGCGTTGGCACGCGGTAGGGCCGCCCGCCTACAGTATTTTACGTAGTTTTGTTTTTAACGCGAGTGAACCTAAATATTAGAAACAAATAACGTACTAGTAGATAGGTATGTAAAAAATATTCTATAAAGGTAAGACACCTTTCCAATATTTCAGGTAATTTAAAAAATGATATCTCTGGGTGTGTTATTGAAGAGTTCAAGCAACCAAAAACAGCAATTGTGCTGTTGTACGATATTGATCGTCGTTTGTTCTTTTCCATACTAAATTATGTAGGTATCTACTTAATTAAATCAAATATTTACAATACAAAACGTTTAAGCACGGCTAACTGCATAAAAAACAATTCAGACCATTCGGTCGTCGTTGCGGCGCGGCGGCGCATTCGCGACTTGGTGCCCGCCGAGAGCACATCGAACTCGAGTGGCGTAGGTATGACTCGCTTTCCGAACGTTTGTATGAAGATAGAATACTGTATGATATTATTACCGTGCCCGAGGCCTCTAACGTGAACACACGTCGTGGGGCGCAAAATGCATCCGTCGGCAGTATAGAGTCGGTGCCTACGAGCGCGTCACCGGCCGCCGTCACCGCGCGCGATTTCGCGCGCCGTCGCTGCCCGCCCCCTCTGCCTCGCCGGATAAGTCACGTGCATGCACGTCTACACCGCAACGTGCTTACGCAGCTGCTGCCGCCAGCCAAGCAAAAGAGAAGAGTAGCAATCCCTGTGTCAAACGTGTTACTCCGGCTGCATCACAAAATCAGATGTGCGACGAAGAGGGATTCATCAAGGTGGAAAGGAAGAAGAAGAAGCCCGCTCGCCGCAATTTGTGTGGTGTTGCCCCGACTGGACCGAATCACCTGCTGCGTCCTGCAATACCGACGACGCCGCTATACGTGTCCCGACTGCATTACTCTACGAAGGAAGAGGAGATCGTAGAGTACCTGCGGATTAAGACCATGTTCTCCCTGAGAGTCGTACGGTTGGAGTCCCGTCACAATGTGAATTTTAATTCATTTGTAGTGAGGGTGCTGACTGAACATCTGGCGACTTTCATGAAGGAGGATCTTTGGCCGAAAGGTGTAGTGTTCCGGCGCTTCCGAGGTCGGTTACCTGACACCACTTCGCGTCACACGTCGCCGTCTATACGTGTTAGTTAGGTGTTTACTAACATAGTTAATAATTTTATTTACTAACAACAATGTTTTATATCTGTATATATGTTAGACTATAAGGTATTTATCTATGGGCCTATGTAGCCTGATTATAAATAAATAAACAATAAAAAAAAATGCAAATGAAACTTTTAAAATCATTAAGAGCGCACGCGAGCTGTGAGCCATTTGAGAAACAGGTATTTGAAAAAACTATTGCTATCGCGTATTCGTAAATACCGTGTGATAAGGACAACCAGACCCCTCTTTCCCAGTGGGCACTTTGGGCAAGTGCCCAGGGCCCCGTGATCGATAGGGGCCCCCCTCAGATCAAATACAAGTCCCTAGTTCCTGTTAGATTTAACAGATTTAATTTGGTGATTACCAAACTCTCAAAAATTACATATATATAAAAGAAATATAAAAGAAATTTTACCCATACAATAATAATAAGTAGTTATATTAAGCCGTCGTCGGTACTATATTTTATAGCAGGGTTGGCAACCCTACCTTAAACAAAAAAATTACTCAACGCATCAAACTTCGAACTAATTTGTGTAAGGTGATTATTCATTGATTGCGTTTAAGGCGCTTTGCAGACGGCGGGGCGGAGCGGGCCGGTCAATTTCGCCGCGAACGATAGCACAAAGTGAATCCTATGCTACAAACGCACACAGAGGGCAAAAAGACCATGCAGCATGTCCGCGGCTGCCCGCCGTGGATCATAAAGTCGTCAATAAAGTATTTGTTAAAATTACAACGACAATCAAAAAGGGAAATAAGTAGTACATACTACTAATTCGCAAATGCGTATGTGTAACAACGATATTAAATCAGTTTATTGTAAGTATTAAAACAAAATTTGCCTTAAATGCGTAAAATTAACAAACATTGATTGAGATACCTGTCTAAAGACGTCATTTTACATACTCTAAGTATTTATTTTGCATTTTTTACGAAGCTCAGCGGCATGTTGACATTTCAACGGTCCGCGCATGACTGTGAACCAAGAAGTGCTCGAGTCGCATTCAAGCACTTCTTGATTGGGACACATTTTGAGCGCACGTGGTGTATCTAAGGTATTTAAATATCGTTGAGGTGTAAACGTAAACATACCGTCAAATTTAAATCCTCTTTTTAAAAATTGAATTAAAAATGGTTTTAAATATTATAAAGATATTATTAATATATAATGAAAAAGAAAACATAAAGTGTACAATAATTTATTGGAATATTAATAACTACAACAATATACATAATACAATATAAATGCAAAACTGTAATTAATTCGTATTCAATAAGAATGACTACCTAACACTGCAATAACGTAAACAGAATAATATACATTAATTTTAATTTATTCATTGCACTAAAAATAAATCTTTTTGTCATTCCCAGTTCCTTTTGATTTTCTTATTCGAGATATATGTAAATGAGAAGTTGCTGTTCTTGACTATATATTTTAAAAATGACAATGAAAATTTTTGTTCGAAATTAAAAAAATATCAAAAATGTTGATTAATGATTAAAAATACACCACTTAAATATTTACAACAACAATTTTCTTAATATGCTTAGTTATTATTTTAACTTTAATTTTATAAACATTGCATTCTTAAATATGTATAAAAAAAATCAAAAATATATTTTAATACCGTTATACTGTTTTTTTCTTAAAATAGTAAGATCACAATAATATCTAATGAATCGTTGAAAGCAGTCTTATTTACATATTTTTAGTAGAAAATTTATTTTTAGTAATTTTGTTTAATTGGGTATTTATAAATTAAGCAAAAAAAGTTTGAATATTCATATCTTATTGAAATGTTCTCCTCACCAGGTTTATACGTATATTTCTTAATATCTTTTATTTATTTGGTTTTTATGTGCTTTTTTGTAAAAATATATATAATAAATATTATTATGTCGCTACCAAATTGAAAATAGATATTTTTTTTAATCAATTTCTTTATACAATTATTTAAATTCAGTCCCATTACCAGACAGTGAGATGGTGATATATTAGCTTATACCTGTCTCACTCCAACTTACCTACTGACTAAAAACGGACATATTTTTTTAATAATTATTAATTAACTTTACTCATTAATAATAAAACTTACAATTGTATTTACAAATTGTTAAGAATACTTCATTTGTCGAATTATTCGAATACATTTATTCTGACTGACGCTTATTTGTCATCAAGCTCATTTCTCAAATATGCAAACTTACTTGACTCCGCAAAAACCTAGTAAATTTCTTGAACAACAGCCATAGACAAGGAAGCCTGCACAGTAGCAATTTTACATAGCAAAAAGTCTACTGCGCAAGTTTATTTGTCTCTGGTTTCGCTCAAAGAGTTACTAAACCTTGGTCCTATTAATTTGTTCTACGAGTATGACATCACTTAAGGTAAGGTTATGAAGCAAGCGTCAGTGACGCCGCGACAGAGCGTCAGATAGAATTTCTATACAAATGGCCTTTGTCAATGCCGTTTTGACCGCCGCTGACAATGACATTTGCATAGAAATTCTGACGCTCTGGTTTCGCTCAAGAAGTTACTAAACCTTGGTCCTAGTAATTTGTTCTATGAGTATGGCATCACTTAAGGTAAGATTATGAAGCAAGCGTCAGTGACGCCGCGACAGAGCGTCAGATAGGATTTCTAAACAAATGGCCTTTGTCAGTGCCGCTTTGGCCGACGCTGACAATGACATTTGCATAGAAATTCTATCTGACGCTCTGTCGTGGCGTCACTGACGCTCGCTACGAAAGCCCACCTTTAAGGAGACCTACTGCTAACAGTCCTATCGTAATTAAATAAGACAGCCTTCTAAATATTTCATCGTTATTTGGTGGATTCCTTAGTTCAAACACAACAGTCTTTATTAATCAATGGACCCCGAGAATGAAAATTTTAATCTTGCTGCTACTAATGGGACAAATTAAGGGCCCTTTTATAAAATTGAGCCGCTGCAGTTTAGGTAAATACGGCCGCGAGTCTGTGAGAGTCGCACAAGCGAGACATCGAGGCAGCGATGTTCAGTATAGTGCGCTTTACCAAATTGATACTTTAATATGCAATTAGTGGATTATACTATAAGTGCAAATATAAAAGAAATTTAATTTGAGGTGCTATGATAGATCCCTACTGTAGTAACGAAGGATTCAAGATAGGAATCCTGAGTGGAGCAAAGGATACAAGGATTTTTTTTTTTACTATTGTGAGAAAATAAATAAGATATTTATCGTACCCATTGGTTGTGTTTTGGAAGGACAATAAAGATTAATTATGATTATTACTAATTATTGTAACTTTGTGTATGATTTGCATAACTTCTGTTTGTTCAACTTTAATTTTTTTATTCAATCAGTAATTAAATGAAAAATTTTTTCACTGTTATCGCTGAATGAAATCCCTTTTTCGAGTGGATGTGAAAAAATTGTGATGTAATAAAAAATTCACTTTAAAAATTACATTCCTTAATAATGATAAAGTGTTCTTTTACACAGTTTTAGTTTAAAGAAACACTAGTTTTTTGTTTCTTTAAATTGCCATACATTTTCTTATCAACATAATTTTTAAGTTCTATAGAAAGGCGGTCCCCTGCTAACAGTGTATGTTGACAATGGTATTCCTTTAGTCCCATAAATGGCTTCGGGTGCGTTTTCATAATCCACATCGTAGTAAATTCCGGTTTGATTCTGAAAAATAAATGGGTATAAATTAATATCATCATCATCATCAGCCTATTAATGTCCCCACTGCTGGGGCACAGTCCTTCCCTATGGATGTAATAGGGAGACTAAGGCCATGACCCACCACGCGGGCCCAGTGCGGATAGGCGGGTGCTAACGACTGCAGATGCAGCCGGGACCAACGGCTTTACGTGCCTTCCGAAGCACAGATGGAACTCGAGATAGAAGATTTTTGTTCACCCATCCAATGACCGACCACTGCGAAAGTTGCTTAACTTCAACGATCGCAGCCGAACGCATTTGAAGTCATACATGACCAAACGATGTCGAGACACTGCTTAGATACATACGTTCTCTGTTACACAATAAGGTATTTGATAGTGTTAAAAATAAAGTGCCAGTTGTTAGCATCTGTGTTTAGAATGAATATTGGCAGGGCCTGGGTACAGATGCTAACAATTGGCACTTTTTTTAACACTGTCAAATACCCTATTGTGTAACAGAAAACATATGTATCTAAGCAGTGTCTCGACATCGTTTGGTCATATATGACTACAAATATTAAAGATCCTCATTGTATAGTTTTACTTGTTAAACGAAAAGGTAAAAAGGGTAGACTATAAGGTACTTATCTGTGGGCCTACGTTTCCTGACTATAAACAAACAAACAAACAAACAAAATAAACTGTCTGTCCATGTTAAGCCAAGTTCCCATACAAAGTGGGCATTGCCGTTTGTACGGAACCTTGCAAATGTCCAGTTTTTTTGATGATCATTTAAATATTTTATGTTAAAGAAATACTTACATGCATGCTTCTGGCTCTAGATTTCGGTCTGGGGACTAGTAGATCGGCTCTGTCCTGCACGTGGCTTGACGCTTCAGAGCTTGTGGAATCACTGGCCATGTGGTTGGTATAACCTAGAAAGAACGCGTTTTCAATGAAATATCTTTAAGAGAGGACGCGAGCTGAGAGACATTTGAGAAATAGATATTTGACAAAACTATAGGGTATACATAGGGACAACAGTAGCTCACGCTGAAAATTACATAAAAAAAGTTCAAAATTCGAGGTTTGGCTCTCGACGATTTCCTTCTCGAAAATTAGATATATGTAGAAGAAATTTTACCCATAAAATAATAAATAGTTTACATGCCTCACATTTAACTAATATAACGCAGGATATAATCACTCGTATCATCAAGAGATGGCGCTACTGGTGGCGCATTCTATAGTATGGAAAGCCTACATCGCGCTAGAGGAATTCGGAGGCTAACACGTAATATATACAATGCTTGACCTACATCATTCGAGCCTCCCTACGACAACGGCTAACTAGAGCCGAGGTCCGAGTCTCAGAGACGCCCACTAGTTGAGCCGACCACCTAGGGTTCGAGTGGTCTAGAGGCTCCAGACGGAGAGGAGACTGCCCCCGTGGGGAGATGCCTTTCTGCTGGAATACTTCTAGAGGCACTCGCCAATAGGGTATTTGACAAGTTTTAGAAATCGATCTCACGTTATTGTCCAATGTTTATGGAGTCCGTAAAAAGTAGGATATTCATCATTCTGTTGTGTATTTCAGTAAAAATAACCAAATCAAAAACTCCATTTTCAAGTTGCTGCGAAAACGTTTTTCACACGACTGATATTAAAACGTCAAACGAGATACAATGTGATGTCACTTTAACCGGAAGTTTACTTGCGTGTGACGTCATATTAGGCTCCGCCAATCCCAAGCGTTTTGGGTCACGTGACAATAGATAAGAAAACTATTATCTTTTTCGTGAGTTTTTAGTAAAATTATGAATATATATTTTTTTAAATTAGTAAATACCCCTGCCAATATTCATTCTAAACACAGATGATAACAATTGAATTTTTAATATTGTCAAATACCCTATTCCGGCTTGAGGTCCCCAAAGGATCTCTCCGTCCCCAAACCCGCTGACGCTGTAAAGTACATCTGCGACCAACAGCCATATACACTCAAAAAAAAAAACAGTCAGGCTGGGCCCCCGACCTAAGACCACCCCACTCGGAAGATCTTTCCCTTTGGCCTTCCTACACCACGTTAGTGTGATGACACAGTGGGACAACAATATCTAATGAAAGCATGATGTATATGTGTTGCTGTCAGTCAAGGTTTGAAGGCATGTCACACGCTTATACTCGTAGTATCGCTGCTTGCGATTGGCACGAGCGGGTACCCTTGTTTCCTGGTGTTGGTCACCCATCCAATGAACGGCATTTGCGAAAGTTACTTAACTTCCACGATCGCAGACCGGACGTGCTGACCACCTGCGCCTTCGAACCCCTCTTACAATAATAATTTCGAATAAAAAGGCGATCTTACCATACAAATTGTGGTGTGATGCCGCGGTGTTGGCTCGGGAGGCGACAGTGTTCAAGGTGCCGTTGTGATGCAGGCCCAACCTGGGCAGTGGTACGGGAGGGAGGGTGGGGTAACCTCCGAACATTGCCGATGACGGCCGAGTTGCCATCGTTTGAGTGTCGGGTTGCTGGAAATGTTAATGATTATTGTTTATTTATCGATGAACAATACCCAATAGCATTTGATTCTGTATCTACAGGGTGTGATAAAAAACCTATGACAGAGACTGAAACTACGCATTCGATACACCCAAACAAGAAATATTATATTCGAGAATCATTTGAATTCTCAAGTAAATAAAATACATATAGTTGTGTTTTGTTTTTAAATAAGTTTAAATAAATTTTATTTACGTATATTCTATATAATTTGTTAGTATTATCTTTTTACAATTAATGAATTAGTATACACATTATTATTATTCGTGATTTTATAGAATCAAATAAAATTTAATACCTATTTTAATTTATTATAGATAGATATTATATAAATTCTAAATTGTAATAGTCAGTTATAGTACTTATTAGCGTTTTTATGTAATCAAAGGTGTCACTCTCCCTCTGTAATTAATTGATTGCTGTGCCCGACGGGGTCCATGATTGTGCATATTATTTTGTAACATCTTGTATAACTTATGGAAAGCAATAAAACATTGAGTATTGAGTACATTTTTTTTCCTGTACGCAATGTGTAGCGCGGAGCGCTGCTGTGGTGCTACGCAAAGAATGTGCCTGTGTGTAAGTGGGTGCGTGTGTGTAGGTGCGTCGATAAAAAAGTTTCTAAATGACGTTTTGAAAATATTGATGTATAAATCTTGAAAAAAGATTTGTGAATTTGAACTTCAATATCTCCATAACCATAAATTTCCCAGGTATGGTCCAGAAGAGAAAAATCATCGTCATGATGTGGAAAATACGTGGCTTTTAAAGGATTTTACACCCTATATAATTTTACATTGTCAAACTTCCCAAATAGGAACATTTGCTGCATCTCAGAACTGACTAATGGTGATTCTTAGAAGTCAGTAGCGCCTCCCATTATTATCACGATGTAATTCTCAATGGAATATACAACTTCTAGTACTCTCGCACAATAACTCCTTAACAATAGAACCTCACATAGAAACATAGTATTTGACAGAAGAACTGAAAAGATCGAACTGCTAAAAAGACGACCACCAGAAAAATGGTATGACATTAATAGGCTGATGATGAGGATGAAAAAATCCTCATCATCAGCCTATTAATGTCCCCACTGCTGGGGCACAGGCCTTCCCTATGGATGAAATAGGGAGATTGAGCCATGACCCACCATGCTGGCCTAGTGCGGATTGGCGGGTGCTAACGACTGCAGATGCAGCCGGTACCAACGGCTCAACGTGCCTTCCGAAGCACGGAGGAACTCGAGATAGAAGATTTTTGGTCACCCATCCAATGACTGACCACTGCGAAAGTTGCTTAACTTCAATGATCGCAGCCGAACGCGCTAACCACCCGCGCCATCGAGCTCCTCATTTTTAGTACGATACCACCATTTTTAGTAACAAATTAATCAAATATATTAACCAGGGTTACTAGGAAGCTTGGTGATCATAACCGAAACAATCAGATAACCACACAGAACACAGAAAGAGTTTAAAAGGGTGATCATGATCACTGACCGTTTGTAAGGGAACCGATGTCGCCGGCTGGCCCCGACTTCACTTCGGTCTAATAGATAATAGCCAATCAAACGACGCGACATCAAACAATCGAACCAATCAGCGCTCACACCCGAGAGCAACGAGCAATTGGAACCAAATTTTGGTCAAGTTATGTGCATTTGCTCACACAAAATTGTGGCGCTCCTGCCCCACCTACAACAACACCCTTCTGACCTCTTTCTGGTGTTCTGTGGATAACCGTATGGGGCCGTTCAAGTATTACGTAAGCACCATAGGGGGGTAGGGGGGTCTTCGCTTTGCTTATTTTTGATGACATGGGGGGGGGGGGGATTTGATGACATGGATTTAAGTGCCATGGACTGAAGACTGTTAATTGGAATTAATATGTATACCAAAATTTTTAAAGAAGTGTGTTTAGTTCGTAATAGTACTGAATAAGATTATAATATTTGTACCTTTCTCTATGTTGAATACTGTGTCAATAAAGTTTATTTAAATTAATATTATGTGCGATAAAGTGCTCTATCCTAAGCCTATTTAAATACTGCTGCTCATGCAGCTCATGAAAGATCATGAAATAATAAAAAAAAAACAGAAAACATTAAAGCAAAAATGCATATACGTAAGCATGGGGGGGTAAGAGCTTTGCTTACTTTTGCTGACAAGGGGGAGGGGGGGTAAATAATTGTAATAAATCTGCTTACGTAATACTTGAACGGCCCCTATTCAAAACTTTTATACTTAATAAAACAATAGGAATGATAAGACTGTTTGAGAGCAAAAACTATAATCTACAGTTTATGTAAAAAGTTAGCGACAAAAGAAAGTTTATAATAGGGATGATGACTATTTTTTTTTCTTCGTTTATCAGGTAGATTATCAGAAAGTATTGGACACGTATTTTTTCTTTTTTCACATAATATAAACATTGCAGAGATATATTGATTTGAAAAGTCGCATGACGTCACGTTTGAGTACACTTATAAGCGAAAATTCACTCAAAAGTGACGTCACGAGCCCATACTCCCAAACTTTGACGCGCTATAACTTTGTCATTTTTTGGTTGATTGCCCAAAGAAAAAACGTGTCCATTATTTTTTGATCATCTAACTGACAGACTAAACAGAATTTCGTTTACTGTACCCCGTCATCACCCCTATTATGTTAGGCTTGAAAACTTACAGCACAGAATATAAATCTAAAAGACGCACGTCGCTACATGGCCCCTCAAGGGTTCTCGGGGGACAGTTAGGCCCGTATTATAGAAAGACTAGCAAACCAGTAAACCAAATGTTCACCAAAACCTGATTTAAAAAAAAAAGTATTTATTTAATTGAGAACTTCGGAGATTTTGTGTGGTTTCGTTTGAAATTCGTGATTTCTCGAAAACCGGAAGTGCTACGTTACTCAAATCCGGTTTGTAGTCTTATCAGACTGTTCTTAACTTATAACTTAAATATTCTCTTTATCTATCTCTTACGGTTTGGCCGCTGAAACAGCACCACAGACGGACGGACTTGTCTAATAGATAAGAGATTCTCAGTGATTGATCTAGACTTGAGCATAGTTAGAAAGGGATGTCGCTATATATAGCACATAGCGGCATCCCTTTCTAACTGTACTCAAGTAAAGATCAACACTTAGTTGTCATTCTGTAATACGGGCCTAAGTCTCGTGTGCCGCGTTGAGACGAGCGACGACTCTTTTTTAATCGTATTGCGTGAGCTGTCCGCGGACTTTTTAAACATGTCAAACGAAGGTATTGCGCAGTATACGGCTGCTTAATTCGACTTCTTCAAAACCGGCGTTTACATATTTTTAAACTTCCTAATGATGTTGAAAGGTAAGAAGCGTTAATCGTGAAGAGGTAACAGACAGACACACTTTCGCATTTATTATGATAGTATGTACTGATGGATTAATTAAAGAACTCAAATTAAGGTTTTAATAAATAAAAGGATTACTAGAAAAAATCCACGCGGACCAGGCAGCGGACGGGACTCGAACCCGCACCCTTCGCAGTCCGGGCGAATGCACTGACCATTATGCTACCATGGCCCTTGTTCGGTGCATAACCGAACATTTATATTTTGCTTATTAATTATTTTGCAATACTTAACACCGTCACGGCGCCTGGCCTAATTTAGGTCATTAGCCGCGGTGCAAATATAAATTAGTGTAGATTTCGATGCATAAGCGAACGCACTCATTAACATACATTATTATACTATTTTAAGAACATTTTGTGAACAAACAATAAACACGTAATTATTTTCGGTAACAACTTTATTATTTTAACATCCACTAAGCTCAGGCACTAACATATGGTCCTTCGAGCTATACCTCGCGCGCGTAATATCGTGATTTTTGAGGTGAAAGAACAGTGAACATTGGAATACAGTGGTGTGTGAATTTAGTGAACTATCAAGCAACACCAGTAACACTGTAGTTACTGACGTGCCGGTTACGAAAGGATTCGTAGCCCTATCAGCAAGGAAACTTGGCTTGGTGGCCAGGTGATTCCAGCTTTATCATCATTCAAGTAAGGTCGTTTTAATTTTACTCTTTTCATCATGGAAGACTATGTCAACATCATCGAAACTCAAGGTGAGATCATGGGTGCGATGGAAAAATTACTTACCAACTTTAAGAAAGATTCATCTGAGCGGAAGACCCCTACTAATATCAAAAGGCGGTTGGAAACTCTTTACCAATATTGGGCAGATTTTCAGGCAAATCATTCTAAATTAGACGAAATTACTGATAAATCAGCTTATTCGTATTTCACCGAAAATGATTATGAACAAACAAAGAAATATTATTTTGACGCTAAAGCATACATTGAAAGCTTTTCTTCGAAGCCAAGTACAAGTACCCTTAACATAGAACCTAAGGTTGACATTAGATGCTCAACACCAGTAGGCATAAGAGAGAAATACACGCCTGATCCTATTGGAACCTCGTCGAGAACTACGCCGGTTCCGAACAGTAACATAAGCAACATGCTAAGAAAACAAGAAGCGAACTTTAAAGCATTTCAAAGAACTGTAGGGCTCATTGATGTTGAGTCTATTACAGAAAAGTGGGAGTTTGAAGACGCGTTAAGGTCTTTACAAACTCGTTGGTCCTTGGTAGACAGTCTACACTGGGAAATAGTTTATGAAGCGGGCGACGAAAATATAACATATGAGAAAAAATTTGATTATTATGAAAAATTATTTAACAATTTGAAAAAGTCGATTAATACAAAAATGTGGTCAATGGCACATCGCGAGAAATCTACTCCTCAATTAGATATTCCCGTTTTTACTGGTCATTATAACCAGTGGGTATCCTTTAAGGACTTGTTTACAGAAGCTATCCACAACAACCCGTGTTTGTCAAGTGCTCAGAAAATGCAGTTCTTAAAAAGCAAGGTGCGTGGTGAGGCAGAAAGGCTCATTCAACATCTCACCATTAGTTCC